AAAAAAATGTAAAATTAAACCCACAAAGACAAAAAAGATCAAAGTAAAATAATAGGTTGAACAATCGCCATTTTTGTTATATTTTTATTTAAAGAAGGATGATGAAGAGCACTAGCTTGAAACATATATATATATATATATATTTTTTTTATTTAATGAAGGATGATGTTTCAAGCTAGTGCTCTTCATCATCCTTCTTTAAATAAAAATATAACAAAAATGGTGATTGTTCAACCTATTATTTTACTTTGATCTTTGTTGCCTTTGTGGTTTTAACTATACATTTCTTTTTATAAGGTTTTTTTCCCATGTTGGTTTTTTGCAAGAGATTCATTTTCAATTATACAAGATGACCCCAAAATCAGAAAAAATAGAATTGGAAAGTTTAATATGAAACAAAAATGAAAAAGAAATTTATTACATAAAATTGAGAAATAGCAAACAGTAACCAATGGAATAGTTAGAAAACATGCTATGTTCGAGAACTTTATGGAAAAACTGTTAATGTGATTTTTTACTATTTTATTCATGTCACACTACTTGGGAAGTAATAACAAATTTCAGGTTTCAAAAATTGCTTACTTTTGTGATTTTATAGCCATAGATAGCCCATTTCTTAATGCTGTACTATAATAAACAAACTGAAGGTGTAAAAAAATAATAAAAGACAAAAATTATATAAAAAAATCTAATATCTGATCTGGAGTTAGCCAGTTGTTTGTTTATTTATCTAAAATGCCATTATTTGATAAGACAGATGTTTGTGTGAGCATAACCATTTTAGAGTAGATTACTTAAATTGACAGTTTGACAAAAAGAATGCTGTTGAAATATGGCCATTATCTATTACCTTTTAAATTGAGAAAAATAAAGAACTAATCTTTAATCTATATAAAACTTCCTCATATTAGCATACTTATCTTGGGCACATCATTAATAAATCAGGGTTAATATACAAATCTGTTGCCTTTTGTACTTGGGAATTTTACGAAAAGTGGCATGTGAAAGTGCCAAAACTATTATTAGTCTTTCTATCAAAGTTCCAGAAAGTGAGGATTTTAGTTTAATGTTAACTAATTTTAAGTACAGTAGTAATTAATAGTAGGTATCGAAAAGAACTCCAAGTAATTCACGTGTCAAAAACCCACCCTATCAAATTCCTACGCTAAAAACCGACCATTCAAAGTATTGGTTACGAGATATTATGTGCATATATATTAACAGTATGCTAAAAACATCGCTAACATTTCCAGTATAACAATTAAAAAAATTTAAAACAGCAACTTTTTTTTGTCTAATACCTACCTGATCATTTCACTAGGGTTAGCACCTAGACAGCTCGGGCTATTGCTACAAGATTTATCCAGCTTATTTGACTGGTCTGTGGGTATCCCCTTTTGATATTCTGATAAACATCCATATTTACAGGTAATGGGTATAACTTAGCATTTGCTAGAAAGAATTTACTCACTGAAAGGAAATACTGAGCATAAATAGAGATTAAACTAAATTCTAAAGAAGCATCTCATAGCTGACTATCACTACTACTGGATAATACTTACTTGATGCCAGAAATGTTTTACTCACCCTTTAAGTGCTTAGGTGAAATTAAACTAAGTCACTGACTAAGTCTATATCAATTTTATTTGTCCACAGAGAGGATTCACTCTCAACACAGAACAAACATTGATATACGATTTTAATGATGCCTCTTAAAACTGACTGAATTAGTGTATTTCTTTTTTCTCAGACTAATTTAAGAATGAAGTTTTATGTATGTATGTATGTATCAATATTTAATCTAAACAATATTGTTTTATCTGACAAGAATGTACTTCTGGTAATTCTTCAATGGAAAAAAAACAAACATGAAAAACATTACATTCACATAATGTTGATGACTGGACTTCACCAAAAAATGCTTTTAGCTTACGAGCCTTATTTATTAAACAGATACTAAAAACCTAACACTACAATAATTTGTATCACATAGAACTTAAAAGGCTAGGAACAACAGATATAACAGTCCTTTTCATTTGACATGCACAGTTTCAAATCTAATTGTATGTGTGAAAGGTCATGTTCAGTCACATGTAACATTACAATCTTAAATATTCCTGAGGAAAGCATAAACATGTTATCTACAAAACTCCTTTAAGCAGCATATTAATATAATTTGAAGCAAAAGGAGAAGATGGCAGCTAGAGGCAATAAAATCAATAAAAAAAGTTTCAAGGTTCAGAGCTTACTGGATATGAAGGAGGGAGAACATATGTGAACTTTGTCTGGTGTAAAACCCGTTTCTTCTTTTTTATAGTCTTGATAAAACTGATAACTCTGCTAATATAATGCAAATATTAATATTAATAATGTTAAAGAGTAAATATTTTCTTGTTATTTCTCTGTCATAACATATCACTTTAAGCACATGTGCAATTCTCACATTCAAATTCATTTGTGCATGTAAATCACTGCACACGTGGTTTTCTCATGAAAAGGCTTGAAATGATGAAATGGACTATGAAAAAATCCTGAAAATCAATAAGAGTGAGGGTACCCAAATAATGAAACAATGCATTTTAATCTTTATAAGCAAGAATGTAAAAAAATAACTTAGTTTCAATAATAGGTAACTTGCTTTAATCAGGAGTTACCTGTAATAGTCAGAGTCTTAAGTACTTATGTTGCTTAATATCTTAGTATAAAGATAACAAAAAAGTGAGTGAGAATCAACATTTTCTTATAAGAAACTAAGTACTTTTACCACTGAAAACATTACTGACATTTATTGTAGTAAAAAGACTTGTTAGGTCAAGTGGCTTGTTTAAATATACAACAAGACTATTCACTTAGCATGCTAATATAAATCCTCCAGATTTCACCTATGCATAATGTACTATGAGAAAAAACATTTGATATTAATCAAAAGTTACTTACAAAATTTTATACTTGTTCTTACAATAGACAGTCCAGTATTTTTATTCAAAACATGCCATCACATGGTCTGCAATATTTTGAAGTTTAAATATAGCTATTCTTTTTCAGGTTTATTATCTACAATAATTTTTTACATTTTACTTCATATTACTTACTAAACTGACAGAATACATGAGCACTAACTAGTCTATACAAATTAGTTTAATTTTAAATTAATCAAACAGTTGCTCTATAGCATGAGTACATTATTTGCCCACATTCCATGTTGTTTTGTGACATAAATGTATCATTTCATAACTGAACATGTTTTACAATTTCATATAAGAATCATAATTAACTATCTTGAGCAAACTTTATATGGATGTTAAACAAATAATAAGAATTAGGGAAAACATTTACCAATGTTGGGCATAAACATTTATTTCATATTGTAATAAGAGATGGGTTAAAATTTTCAGTTTTAAAATGGTTCGTTTAACAAATTTACACTGTAGATGAATTGAATTGTTTAAACTGATTCACTTTTAGATTGTTTTATTTAATAAAATTACAAATACATCAAGTGATCTATTTAAACTAGTTTAATCATACGGTGGATTAGTTTATAAGTTTTTGTACACCAACTGGTCAGTGTAAGTTAACATCATTAAACACAGGGTTATTTAAAAACAATTTGCAATGTACATTAGATCACTTTTTTATTTTTTAAATTGATTTAATCTAAACTAAGTTTCCAATAGATGTAAAACATAATTCATCTTGACTTATATCAACTGATTCAATAAAGAACTACTTTATCTAACAGATTTACTGTGGACATCATATGGTCAGTATAAATTGATTTTGTAGTTTGTTTGTTCAAGTAATGCAGTTAGTTTACACATATGAATTAAGCAAGTTTCTAAATATATTACAATGTCTATCATTTGGTCTACAGACAATGATTTTTTATCCTATGTTGCACTTATATACTCATTCATAGTTCACCTACATTTTGCCATTTTTTTTTTTTACACATGGTGGTAACAAAGCTCACCTTCAAGACTGTGACATTTCTCGACAATTTCGTCCTGATTTAAGTTTTGGATTCCTTGTACAGAACCGTGATTTGAAGGGATGATCCCAGATTGAGGAAGTGTTCTGATCTTTTGAAGAAAATCGATCCACTTGTCTCTTCAGACTAATCCTTGTTTGACTAAATTTAACAAAGTGAGGCTGCACCTGAGTATCATCAAAGAAGCTACTGTGGTCTGATGCACCACAAGAAAATCCAGTGTCACTGATTGAATGTTTGTATTTCTGCTTCTGACTGCCAGGACGTCTGGAAGGCATGCTGTTTCGTCTTTGTGGAGATGATGATGATGATTTGGTTGCATTACCAGAAACATCACCACTCAAGGATTCAGAGGAACTTGAAGTCTGTAAAGTGAAAATTACTTTCTTTCCTTTCTTTCTTAACTGAGATGTGTTTCCTGAAAATGTGTTATCCTTCAAAAACTGAAATCCAAAAGATTTCATGGTATCAAACAGACTCAGACTGTCAGTTTCATTGCTCCTATTAGTTTGCTCAAGAACAGGGAAGTTATTCTTGCCCAAAGAAGTTCTGTCTTGCAATTTGGGAAAACTACCAGACTCTACAGAAGTTTGTTTTGTTGTCACATGAGCCCAAGATCTGCTTCCTTTAAATAAAGAAAACCAATAAAAAAAACATAAAACAGTACATAATTTCCACTATATTTTTTGTAGTTCAAACAATTTAAAAATTCACTTAAAGTAATTCCAATATAACATGAATCTGATTTATAGTAAAATTCAATTTGTCCTTCTATTTCAGAATTTTTGCACAAAGCTATACAAAGACTAGCTGCACAAGGCAGTGCCTAATTTTGAAATTTTGGATTAGAGGGAAGTCAGCTACTCAACACCTCTTGGACTACTCTTGTATGACCAATTAGTGGGATTTCACCATCACTATGACTTCAAACTATAAAGCATGAAAATTTGGGGCAGTTGGCTGCAAATCACAAACTCTCAGATTCACAGACTGAGCACACTTACCACTAGGTCATGCCCAGTCCTGAAAGCTCATGTTATTTATATAAAGTTATAATTTTCCTCTACTGCAAATGTATTTCTGATAGGTACTTCCCTCCACACACGAAATTAGCTTTTCCTGTTTTGTGAACTTTTTTTACAATGCATGCCACAAGCCTTCCGCACCCCTCCCCCCCTATTGGAATTAAATATTCCAACCTGTTTCTCATGCAAATCATCATGCATCACCTCTCCACCAGTAGGAGAGCACTACTATCACATGATGCATGTGACTCCCTCTATGTGCTACTACCAAACCATCACTTTGAAGTTTGGCATACGACATAAGCACCGGAAAATTGTGTGAAGGAGGTTGGGAAGTGTGAGTGGAGGGAAGTACCTATCGGAAATACATTTTCAGTATAGGAAAATTATAACTTCTGATACGGTACTTCACTCCCCTCACAAGATTAGCTAGAATCCCACATTGAAAAGGAGGAGGGACCAATGCAAGGAAAGAACAGACGTACCCCCCATGAAAGCTTCCAATGGATACTTTTGTAGATGAAAGAAACAGATCAGATGATGTGAGGAGGGGCACCACATCACTTCTGAACCACGTATCTGTTTGCAATGAACAGCTAGGAACAAACATGGCAGAAAAGAAAGGGAGCACATCTGAGTGGGAGAGGATAAGTCAGGAAATGATCCCAACTGGATAAATACAGAAACTCAGTTCCACAGAAGTGGGTAATGGAGGATGTGTCCCATGGTGTAAATTGGCTAGAGCCTGGCAGATCATACTCAGTAAGTCAACTACATCCAAAATCTCCTTGCTGGGTATCAATAACTGTGTGAGGGTAGGATAAGGATCATACCAGCTTCACCTCAAACCCCAAAATCGTGGATGTGAGGAAAACACCGACTCCAGAGCACAACACAGGATTAACATTGAGCCAGGGATCTGGGACTGTCATCCAGTATACAAGGGAAGTCCATTGCATGCAATCAACTTCCACGACTGTAAGACTGGTCTGAAATGTCCAGAGGTCAATAACATCCCCATCGCAAGAGAGAGCGAGGGAGTGCTGAGGACAGAAATGAAAACATCCTACGTATACCCTCCATGACCCACTACAAAGAAGGAAGAATCGTGGGAGGAAGATGGACAACCTAAACCTGCATGAGGACTTATGTTTATTGGTTCACTTGATATCCAAAACCTGCTGCAGGTACCGACACCTGCACAAGGGTAGGATAATGGGAAAATGGAAAGTATGGGGGTATGGCTGCCTGATAACTCGATATCGAGGAGACCAAAGGCCCCTTCTAAAAAAACCATGTAAGAAACTTGGATACCAGCAACCATAGAAAAGAAGCTGGGATACCTCGAGTCAGGGTCCAGGTGTGAAAAACATCACTTTCTACTGATACACAGCCATGGATGAAGGACGAACGGAATGAGCTAAATGAGATGCCACCTGATGTAAGAAACTGGATCTTCTCGCTAGGGCCGAGACAAAAGTGAGGTGTGAAGATAGAGGACGTGAAGTGTGGGAAGCAGAACCTGCAACTGGGGTTGATGAAGAAGTTTGGGTAACAAAGGGAGAGGAATGGGAGGAAACAACTGCAGCTGAAGTAATTCAGAAAACTATGGTTGAGCAGACCAGTAAGGAGCAACCAGAAGGACTTTGCATAGAGTGGTATGCATGAGGGAGACAACCCAATGAAGTAATCGGATCGGAGGGTAAACAAAATGAGTTTATTGAACTAATCCTGGCTGAAGGCATCTATAGCCAAAGCTTCAGGATGGGGAACCGGGGACCAAAACAAAGGTAACTGGTAATTGAGGGCAGTAGCAAATGCATAGATATGAGGAATACCCCACTGATCACAAAGCCACCAAAAAAAAGGGAATGAAGGGACCACTCCATCAGGTAAACCCGGTTGGGTCAGGAAAGATGTCTGCGACAAGGTTGAATGCACCCGGTACATGACAAGCCAACAAACAAATGTGATGTTCGTTGGCCCAAATTAGAAGATCCAAAGTTAGGAAACACAAAAATCTCAATATGAGCCACCACTGTTGAATTGTCAGAATGGATAATTACCAGACAAACTCTGGAGATTGGAAGAAAGTGATTCAAAGCCTGATGAAGAGCAATGAGTTTGAGGACACTGATATGAAGAGAATGTTCCCTGACAGACCAAGACCCAAAGCCTCCTGATGATTGACCCATACATCCCAGCCCTGAAGGGATGTATCCGTGAACAGATGTAAATCTGGCTGCAGAGGAGGAAGCAGGATACCAGCCAATGTCCGAGTTTTGTCCAACCACCATTGGAGATCGTCCACAATGTAGGAAGGAAGGAAGGGTTATAGGAGTATCCAAGTGATCCCAAGCAAGGTTTCATTGGTCATGGAAGACAAACTGAAGGGATTGCATGTGAGCCCAGCCGAGAGGAGATGTAAAAGATCACATCGCCAAAAGTGATAGAACCTCGCAAACAGAAACTGAAGGAGCAGACAGGGCATTCCAAATGGCCAGTTCCATAGAAAAGAGTCAGAGAGGAGAAAGTTGGGCCAGACAGAGATGGGTGTTGAAGAAAAACACCCAGATGAACGAGGTACTGGGTAGGATGAAGGAAGGACTTTAACATTTTGATCAACCAGCCCACCCAAGCAACTTTGAGAAGAAGCTGATGAGTATGACAGGCTGACTCCTTTTTGGAATGAGCAAGAAAAAACCAATCATCCATGTAAAAGTGAAAGTGCAACCCCAGGACATGAAGCCAGCCTGAAGGGTAAGGTGCAAAATTGTTACACCAACCCACAATGGACAAACCGAAGATACGTAGGAGAATGGCCTGATATGGGAATATGCAGATAAGCATTAGAGATGTCCTTCTTGGTCATCCAAGGACCTGGAGAAAAAGTCAAACGAAGAGTAAGGTAGGATTCCGTGGTGAAGCATGGTGTGTGAACATATTGATTGTGAAGGGACAGGTCGATGAACAGCCTCCAGTCCCCGGGCTTTTTGGAAACTACAAACAGACGAAAGTAAAACCCTCGCAAACTGCATGGAGCAGGTTCGATAGCTTGTTGTATGAGGAGGTCTTGCACTGCCTCGGGTAGACACTGGCATGACAAGGGATCCCGAGGAGGAGGAAAGGAAACAGACAAGCAGGAGGAAGGGTAAGAAAGGGGATGACAAATCCCTCTGACAAAACTCGATGAACCCAAAAATTGGAGATGAAAGGGCACCACTGATGAACAAAGGTCGCCAGATGAGCACCCACTGAACCCGAACCCACCAGGTAGTCACTGGAACCATTGTTGGTATACCATGCTCATCATGAAAAATGTCGAACAGGCAAAGGCTGGGAAAGGGAGGGTCGGGAGACAGGATTTGGTGCCACAGTCAGCTCTGAATGGAACAAAAGGGCCAACAGATTAGAAAGGGTGGATTGTTGTTGGACCAAAGCCACCCTCGACTCCAAAGACTCTGTGATCATGTCAAACACGAAACTTTTTCCTATATAATGCTGTATAGGTTATCCTATATAATTCTCAATCTCCCTGTGAATAAAGGACGATTAATCCTGTGGCCTGAAGTATGGCAGCAGATGAATGAGATGTACCCAAAGTGGTAATGTTAACTTCAGAATTCACACTTGATACCAAATAAACAAGCAAAACATGGGTAAATCAAACGCTTTCAAAAACAAAGTGAAAAAAAATTAAGTTAAACCAGTTTGAGAAGTAAAGAGTAAAAAGAAATACTTCAGAACTCAATCCTTGCCAATTGAGAAGTGATGAATCGGTAGTGGAGCATAAAAGGAGTCACATGCATCAAGTGATAGTAGTGCACTCCTATTGGTGGTGAGATGATGCATGATGATTTGCATAAGAGACATATTGGAATCTTTGATTCCAATCGGGGGGTGCAGAAGGCTTGTGCCATGCGTTAAAAAAGTTTGCATATAGAGGGCAGTAAAAAAGTTATAAATAATTTTACAAGGAAAAAAATAAACACACCTGACTGTTCTTGTTTTGATCTTGAGATCCCACTTACTAAATATCTATTTTTCCAAGCATCAGGAAGTACTTGGCCACTCTTGCAACTGTTATCGAACTTTCCAAGTGTTGGACTTTTGCAGGTATTTGTAGATTGGACAAAAGTCAAAGTCACTTCCTTTTGATGTGGACTAGATACATGGTCAGTCAGTTGATGTAAAATACGGGTGAACCGTGGTTTCTTGACCACTGGCTATAGAAAACAGAATAAAATTAACTGGCAAATGGAATTTATTTGAAAACAGCATTATCTTAACAAAAGTAAAGTTTTGATAACATGATATTCAATTTATTCTTATTTAAAATGTATATACTAAAGTAGAAGGCTAATGACTTTGACAAATTTTAGATGTAAACAAATAATCATAAATATAATAATAAGTTCTATCTACAGTAATAAACAAGTTATTTCAGTTCGGAAAAAACAAAATATTTATGAGGCATTATGAAATAATAAAAAAAAGAGAGTCCATATGTATAACAATTTATATTTATTAAAATCTAAACTTCATTCATAACAAATCTTGGTAAGAAGACTGTAACAAAGCCATAAATATTAATAGTGCTAGTAATTATACTGATTATATTCTTTAATGAACTACCAAGGTTTTTTCTTGACACTGCCAAGTATATTTATCCACTAGAACTCACATTGGTAAATGCTTGTATAATACAAACAATGCAGACTACCTGAACTCACAATTATAAGCACCGATAACCAAACACTGAAGTTCAAAATTTTGATGAAATAGACATTCTTAATTTTGAAGTTATCAATCTTCCATTTGCAAATATTCGCAAGAAGTTATGTTACAATGTTACTACTCATAACTTTTAGAATTATTACATATTATAAGATTTTGTGTACAGAGCTCATACACTCATTCTCAACTTTCAAAAATGAGGTTTCTCCTACCAAATTTTGAGCAATAGGTTTATTTATTTTTGAAGTAAATCCAATAATCTCTTTCCTACTATTAATAATTTTATCTTTTCAAAATTATCTCATCTACACCTTAATTTCTTAACTAATTTCTATGGTAATAATGGTGACCATCATTAGTCTTATTCCTGTTAATTTAACCTCTCTCTATACTTAATGCAAGCTGTATAACAGTTCCTTATAAAGTATAGTGATATGCCATTAGTTATATATTACTTTTTATTAATTAATGTAATTGTAACATTTATTATTGCTTATACATTTCAATTATTTCTTAGTTTAACTTTACAACTTGCATCTGCTCACTTAGTAATTTAACAATCTGTTTAGAGGGATAGTTTAAGTCAGATTATTTATGTTAGACACAGCTCATAGTATGTTTAGTAAATTATTTTCCAATTGATTACAATTAACTTAGTTATTTTACTAAGTTATTCATTTAATTTTTCATTTTGTAGCTTTATAAACATTAGTTTTTTGATGTGATATCTGTACCATCTTGCTCTATTTTATACAAAAGCCCTTGTTTTAATGATACAATGGACCCTTGTTAAAATTTTAAAACAACTTATATAGATGACTACATCATACTTAAATTTGTATGTTTTTCAAGTTTACCATCAGCTTTTTTGTAGTAGAACTGGTATAACCTTACATACAAACAATGACAAAAATATTTATATACTATATTTGATGCTTTCCATTTTCTTCTTATATGTGAAGAAACATTGCAAATGACATCCTTGTTTAAAAATGCACCTCAATTGTAATGGATATACTCTGAAGAAGGTCACATAGCTGTTTTTACATGTACTAAGAATATTTACTGATATGTGGTAAAATTATAATAACTACCATTTCAGAACTTCATATGTCAATAGCTTTTTGTGAAGTTTTGCTTTTTCAGCTTATTCTGTCAATCAACTAGAAAAAAACATTTTTTGAATAAGAATATTCTAAACTTATCAAACTCTAATTAAACACTCATTAGTACCTGAAGTTTTATATTCAGAATGAACTAAGGTTTTAAACAAGCTTTCCTTGAACACAGCTGGTACATAACATTTAAGACTTAATAAATAAAGCCAGAAAATGTTTTTATTGGTAAAATTCACACTCAAAGTTACAATCACAACTATAAACTAATGTATCAAGAAAGCAAGTTGGTGGTTCTGCTGATGTTCAACAGTGAATTTGATACTGTTTTGCTTGCTATTTAAATAATCTAAAAACTGAAAAACCTGAAAAATATTAAAACTATCATCCATATACATCTCATGATGGTTTAAAACTGTGCAAAACCCTTCAACAATTGTTTTTCATGAAAAGAAAGTAAAAGAGTAGCTAGAGAGGGAGCTAATCTGGAACCCATAGCTACATTATTAAACTGATTATACAGATTATCATTAAACAAAATTTTTTTTTTCTTTTGTTGAAAAAGAAGTGAACTTCAAAAATATAGATTTTGGAATAATTTGAATAATTTACATTAAAATATTAAATTTACACTTAGATATTTTATTTATTTCTAATTATTTTTCTTACCATTTATTTTCAAACCTACTAATTGAAAATGATATCAGACTAAGGATTTATTTATATAACAACTAGATACCATAATCTTTAATCATTCTAGTTATGTTTTGATGAGGTTGAAAAGAAAGTCTTAGCTCTTCATTTAAAGTACAGTACCTCTCAACAAGTTAAAATTTGAAGATTATTTGTTACCTTTTGAACAGTTTTTAAAGTTATAGTCTAAACAACCTATTTGATCTGAATCTGGATAATCTTCCAGTAACATTAAAATTCAACGCAATGGAACAATTTTGACCTTTTTGAGTAATTATGACTCTGATTGCTAGTTCTTACACGAGTAAAGAATTGTTTGGCATTAGAAATTTTAGTAAAAATAACAATAATGTCATTAATAAGTCTAATAAAGAAAAAAGTGTAGTTATTTTGGATAAAATGGAATATTTGAGAAAAAAAGTCGATAACATCTTAAGTGATCCAACCAAATTTGTAAAACTTGACTAGGATCTTACTGATATAATGGATATAAAATTACATAAATATTTTTGGAAATTAAAAGTAATATACATTACCTCAGGCACAATACTCAAAAAATAAACCATCAAGAGATAATCTTGGGATTTTTATAGTTTTCCCAAAACACAAAGAGATTAGGGCTAACACCATGCTACCTGAATTTCTGCAACATGATAATATTAAAGGAAAAAGAGCATGTATTTTGGCCAGTGCTCAATTAATTTGGTGTGTAAATCAATAAAATGAACATCAGTAGAACTATCAACTTGCATTCTTGAATACATTAGTTCATAATTGTGATGGAAACTTTGAGTGTGAAGTTTACAAGACATTAATTGGCCTGTATTTTAGCTTTCCATGTTATATATGGTAATACCAACTATGTTCAAGGAAAGCTTGGTTAAAATCTTAGTTCATCATGTATATAAAATTTCAAGTACTTATGCATTTTTACATAAACAGTTTGATAATCAAGATGTTCCAATACAAAAATGGCTTTCCTGGTGTCTAACAGAATAATTAATGAATATTTGGAGGAATGAAACTTAACAAAACCATCAACACTTGTTATAACTTTAACATTTATTGGTAAATATTCTTTCAGTGTGAAAAACTGCTATGCAGCCTACTGTGTAGTGTATCTATCTGTAATAAAAACTGAGGTATCTTTTAAAAAAGGATGTCATCTGCAATATATGTTCATTAAAAAGATAGGATGTAGTTCTTCAATTTACTTGTTTTAAGGAAGATTACATTAGTTCTACTACAAGAAAACTACTGAAAGATTATGCAAATTTAAGAACACCAAATAAATTAAGTGTATTGGAGCACATTCTAGGTGATTGTGAAATAGTCATCCATTTAAATTATTTTAAGATCTTAATAAGGATCAATGATGAACAAAGCCTTTGTATAAAAGAGAGCTTGGTCATTCATAAGAAAACAATCATGTCAGTTTTGTAAAAAAATTGCCACTTATATTACAACTCAATTTTTTGTCAATTTATAATCATCACATGTACTGTACCACTATTAAAATCTATATATAAATAGCAACATGTTGTAATAACTTATCTCAGATATTACTTTAAAGTTCCAATGTTGCAGCAGTTTCATAATTTTTCATTAGTCACTAGATGTTATTATGGAAGATTATATAAAGTTTTCATACATACTGGTGTTATGTTTTGTATGGGACAGGCAGGAAATCAATAACAATGCACGAGCCAAACAACTAGTTTTATACATTTTGTATGCTTGTTTTATTCTAATATTTTTTAGTGTTAAATTTTATTAACAGTTTTAATTACAATTTTTAACACAAACATATGAATACATATTTTTTATTTATCATAATTATTTTATATCATTAGCTTAGTATTTGAAATTAGAGCTAATTTAAATTAATCTCTTAAGATGGGCAAACCTCATTTTATATTACTGAGATTACAGCCAAAAACATCATTGCAGTGAAAGCACTATTGTACCTAGCTGAGGAATCTATATATTCCAACCATGAAAAGTTTTTGTTTTATGAATGTGCATACACCTACTAAGAATAGTATTTATCAAATTAGCTATAATTATTTCTGGGTTAATTTTTGGCTCTGAGCTATATAATTAGCTAGCTTATATCACAAGTTATTGATAACTTTTTAAAACTCCCAATAATCATGGCACAAAGTCTTCAATTGCAGCAAGAAGCAAACTTTTATTAACAACAATAAATACTTTTAAAAATTAAAATATTTTTCCACATAAGTGTAATTTAATTATAGATACATTGTAATAACTGATTATTGAATATAAGGATTTGGAACTCTTGGCAAATGTAATTGTATATCTACATGCAAATCTAAGGTGTAAAGAAAGAGCAGTACAACTAATTTTTAAATTTTCTGATTATGAACAACAATTCTCAGTAAAGGTTCTTTAATTTCCAAAAAGTATCACAAAGTGAAACAAACTAGACCTGTCTAAACTGTGGTGATTTTTACACTGATGAGAGAGAGAAGGAGTTAGGTGTTTGAATAAAATAATGTACGTACAAACCACTGCATATCTTTGAACTTGTCAAGCTAAATCATCACAGAACGAACCTTGATCATGCCCAGATTAAAGCTTATGAACAAGGCAAAGCAAACAAAAATTAAGAGTTTCTCTTAATAAAATATAAAACCAAACATCAATGAATTTTCATG